CTGTTTCGGAATCCTGAGTCACCCTGTAAATATTCAAAAGTAACTGAAAGTTTATATAGAAGTAACTGAAAGTTTAAATTGAAAATCGACGTTGGAGTGATTTTCGAAAACTACTAACGTTTCAACATAAGTATATGTGGGATATTAATTGTATTATTATATTAGACCTTATAACAAAACTCATCTGACGAAAAAGTGTTAATGTAGTATATTAATATGGAGTAAAAATTTTACTAATTACTTTACTTTTACTTTACTAATTTAATTCGTTCCAAAAAACGATACGCCACTGGCCATTAGAACAATCGAAATGCGCCTAGTTGCTGGGGTCGGAAATTTTAGACGTCTCTGTCTCTTCTGTCCTTGTTTGACACATTGGAATGTTTGATACACTACCAACGAGCATTTATGAATGAGATGTTCGGTCTATCTTTATAATGTTTTTGTTTAACACCATGGATTATAAGCCGATAAAAGGCGGACCGCCAGAACAGTATAGTCACTGTTGCCCTGCAGTTTTACGATTTTACGTTTTGGAAATATATTTTTTTACTATATTGTAATTAATAATATTGGATAATGATAAAAAATAAATATTCTTGGGTAGTTAATCTACAATCGGTCAATGTTTTTTAAATGCACTGTTTTTGATTTTTCATATCAGTTTAATATAGTGGTATTACATTACACTCGATTAGAAACTTATATTTATTCATACTCCATGTTTACTTATTTTTCTGAAGCTATCACAAAATTTGACCTTGATTACTTAGCGAAGTAGTACGAAGAATAAAGACGCGTGTTACAAAAGTTTTGTCCACTTTTGTCAAAACTGGTTCAAATATTTCCCGAAACAATTCTAACAGCAATAAAAACAAACTACCAACAGGGTTTGTGTCGGTCGATTTCGATCTGTTTCGGAGATTGCAGCCGAGACAAGCCAAAATTCCCCGCAACCCGCAACATAAGAAAAGCATTCGGTTTATTTCTGAAAGTATTTCGAGAAATGCCTCGCGAAATGTTTCACGAAATATTTTCAGAAATATTTCGCGAAACATTTCATGTATAGGGTAGAGGGTGCTCTAGATTGATGACTTCAGGTAGAGGGTGTTTCTAGATTGATGATTTGATCGTCCAAAGGAGTCTTTTTTTGGGCGTAGTCGCGTGCCATTTTAATAATAAATACAGTATTATTTATTATTATTTACTGATTTGATAAAATTAAAAATTGGCGCCGGGAGGCACGTATAGCCGCCCATACTAAAATATGTTAATAATCAAAAAAATCTCAAAAACGGCGACTTTGACTGATTTTTATGTTATTACAAATTTTGTTGCAAATAGTATTCCTAATCTTAAATTGAAAACCGCGTTTCGCTAGCTACGTAATTTTGGAGTTACGATTTTTTAAAATTTTTAACCCCCTCCCATACCCCCTTAACAACCCCCCCCCCCACTCCCACCAAAAACTAATGGCCATATTCTCGGGTGCCACAGTATTTTTGTGCCATTTAGGTCATTTATGACCCAAATAACTCATTTGAGTGAAATTAAAAAAAAATTGTTTACCCTTACCAACCCCCCACCCCCATCAAAAACTAATGGGCAGATTCTCGGATGCCACAGTATTTTTGTGCCAAATTTGGTTAAAATCGATTGAGCGGTTTTTGAGTTATCGTGTTACAGACGGCAGACGGACAGACGGACAGACAGACAGACAGACACCATGAAAATATTTTGTATTTAGATCATTTATGATCCAAATAACTAATTGTGAAATTAAATGGTATGGTCGGCTAATAACAATGCTCACTGTGAATTGTACTCAGAAACTGTACTCTTTGGACCCGTACATTTTATTTGTTCTTGAAAGTTTTACACGTCTGAGGTATGACTATTATTATTTTACTTAGATATATCAAATTAAAAAAAAAATCCTTCATTTGTTCTCTTAACGCTCGTAAAATAACTATTAAAATAATCGCGCGATCCTTGAAACAAAATATAAATTATCTAGGGATACTGAAAGTAGCTGTATAATTATAATAGTTTTGACAGAAAAAACATAGGATAAATATGGTCAAGCGGGCATATATAACAACTGAATTGAGCAATAGGAATAGTCCCGTCTAAGCATAATAACCATATTACATTCTTTAGAATCTATGGTTAATCCATTCGGTCGATATATAAAAAACATCGCTATGGGCAAAACCGCATGCTATATATTTAAAGGTTCTTATTATATTTACTGCTTTAGAGAAACATACTTCAATTACAGAAAAGTCAATGTTATGAAACTGCATTTAGGTATTTTTTTTATCTAAGATCAGAATATATCTGTACCAACTGACTAAAAATATGTCTTACAAAAAGATAAAATCAAATACATGCATTTTTCATATACTGTGTGGTGCATCGGAACACAGGACATAGAAAATCCCATGTAAATTTGGAAATGGTCAAATTAGTAAAATTTATAATACGGCTCAGAGAAAGCTACAATAATTAAAATACCAGCAAAAATGTAATTGTGTCATTGTCAAATTCGATGTCAATCTTGTTTACAAAAATTTGAAGGTACCAAATAGAGTAATTTTGTATATATATAATAATTATGAATTTCGCAACTTCTGAAAATTTTGTTGAAAATTGTATTGCAGCAGTGTTAGATTTGGCCGCAGCTCAGTCTCCGGAAAGCCTATACCGAATAAGTCAACAGCTTAAAGAATCAACTAGACAGAGGTTTGAAACTAAAGGCACGGTATTAAGCACATGGAAGTGTGAAGACAAAAAAATAATTGAATAGGGAAAAAACAACAATAACTTGAATATTCTTCATGATGAAGAAAAGAAAAACATTGACTTCCGTCTATTGAGATTCCAGTAGGAAAAGACCACAGGATCTTTCGCCGAACGACTTCTTGCTGTGGAGAACACTCAAAAACCGTCTTTATCGGCATATTAAATCCAGAAATTTAGATGAACTGAAAACGACATTTCTGTGGAATGCTAAAGATTCTCCCCTTAAGACTCTATTACACTGTACTTTCGGGTCGCTCTCAGGGGTCGGATAAAGTGGGTGTGTGGACGAAGGAAATATATATTATATTTCAGAAATCTGCCTAAGGCTTAGTCCGATCCTGTCGTGTTAAGCCAAGGTTAAGCCACATCCAAAATTCCAAACACACGTGCTTTGATTAAGGTTTGCAGAGCTTCAGCATTTGCCATAAAATAGCGAGCAATTTGTTACAAAACCATATAAATTATATATCACTGTAATCACAAAACTTCAGTCTATTTCCGTATTGTAACGGAATTTTAAATTATGTCTTTATTTTCGAGAAAATTTAGTTCAAACATAAGGAATATTTTGTTGATGTTTGACGATCAAAATCGTAAAAATGAAGAAGTTATCTAAAAATGTGCTACAATACGGATATAGTATAATTCTTTATCTTTAATTTCCTTCTTCATTTGTGTAAAAATACCTAGCCAGCTTTACATGAAACGTTAAATGCCGAAGGCTTATTTTGGTCCTTTTTCGGACTAGTGAAATGGACTCTTAACAGCGTTGTATTGTGCTTATGTAAACATTTTTTAATTAGCATATAGTTTAATACAGTTCCTTTAGTTACAAATATTTCTTTTATTTGTTAAATTATTGTGGATGTATGTGGTATAGGCGAGGCCTGCTAGTGATCGAGTAATGAACAACAATCAAGTCATTCTCCGCGAATACTATTCGCAGTTCAACTAATTCTTTTGTAGATGATCATTCCAATTCCAAAAAAATAACCATCTTTTCCAAAACATAAATTATTGCAAACAAAAAAAAATGTGACACGGAATCTAACAATGGAATCGAATTTTTGCTACCTACATGTGTTTTAACTGTTTTGAAGTGTAATAACTTTTCGTCCGTACCTGTATGAAACAACTGAGTGAAAAAATATACATTTTCGTGATTTTCTACGTTAAAAATGTCTCTTGGTAAAACTCGCTACGAGCAACCGTTCTCAAGATATTTACAATGGAAATAGTCAATACATATATCATTATTGACAAAAAATAAACACGTTGAGTAGATAGTTATTTGACTGACACAATAAATTTGTGAAATTTTTATTTTTTTAAATTAATCCTAAATTTTTCTGCAAAAAAATGATATAAAACAGTTTTTGTTGAACTTTTGGCACAAAAACATTTCAAATTTATAATTTCAGTCTAATAACTATTTAGTCAATATGTTTAATTTATGTCAATGACAGGTATTGATAATTACGAATCTTTTCCAAAACATAAATTATTGCAAACAAAAAAAAAATGTGACACGGAATCTAACAATGGAATCGAATTTTTGCTGGTATTTTAATTTGAACGTAGATTTTTGCAAATAACTTTTAGATGCTTATTTCAAATAAAACTAAATTCTAGATGATAGTACAACTTTAACGCCTCTTCAAAAAAGTCTAATACAATTTTTGTATAAAATCATCTGGGAGATAATATTTTATCTTTTCAAAATTTACATGGGGTTTCCTATGTCCCGTTTCCCATGCACCACACGGTATATATTTTTTAGCCTTTCTGTATGTAATTCAAAATGCCGTCTGGGAAGTAAGTAGGATTCAATATACGCACTATTTTCTCCAAATACAAAGTTTTTATATAACAGAAAATAATTGGAAATTTTTTGGCGCATATAATGAGATTTCAACTTATTATCTAATATGTTATAAGGTTTGTTACAGTCACATTCACGCGTCACGGTGGCTGGGTATGATAGAAACTCGACCAGATAATGGTTAAATTTGTTTTGAATCAGATCACTAAAATCTGGTAATTTAAACCATGATTTAATTACTTTTGAAAAGTTCTTTTTATTATTGAAATAATAGTCATAAAATAATAGAAAAAGTGTATGATAAAAAAATAAGATGTGTTTTTTCAAATTATGCTAAAAAAGCTACTTCATAAAGGTGTTTTTTTGTTCACAGAATGAAGATTTTTGTTACAACAGTTTGTTTGCTTATATCCACGGTATATTGTGTGCCTCAAGGCAATGGTGTGACAGCTGGAATACCAGGGTACACGCAACTGAGATCAGATCAGATAAAGTATCTTCAAGAGAACGGGTTCGGATCTACCAGAAAAACTTTCAGACCTACCGTAAGTATCATATTAAAAAAAAAGATTAGCAGAATTCTAAATCTACATAGTATTATAATATTTTGTGATAATACAATTTAAAACCCCTAGGTAGCTTACGAAGAGGTAGAATACGAGGAAGATGAAGTAGCAGAATCAACACAAGGAGAACCTACTTATGCTGTACCAAACTACCCAGTACCACTGAAAACTACACCTGGGAAGTCGTACGCTACTGCAACACCCAAGTACTACGCTAGTCCTTCTTCTAACAACTTTAGAAGAGCTGGAGACAATCAAATTAGAGTGAGTTTATTTGCTATTTTTAATGTCTTGAAAATAATGTCATATAGGATAGGTATTAATGGCATTTCCAAGTATGAATCTGCTATAACACTATATTATTATGAAAACGAATGTTTTGCATTACCAAATACTGTATGATCGAATAAAAATAGCGTCAAAGACGGCTGGTGAATGACAATCGATGATAATTTTGGCGAGGTCAATATCTAGCCGTCATTTACTAAAAATTGACTTAAAACTTACTAATTATAGAAAAATTAAAAACGGATAGAACGTTTCCAGATACACAAATCTGTTTCCAAAAAATTATCTTCTGAATATTAAAATACACATTGATGCTGTGAGGCTGTCATAGGAAACTACGACTGCGATTTCTTCGATTTGAGAGTTTAAATTTAGGCAACCAATATTACTTTAGTTGCTGCGATTTACGACTTCTTCTATTTGGGATTTGCGAGATTCAGTTTAGGCAACCGATATAACTATAGCTGCGATTTGCGATTTTGCGGCGATTGTGATTTTGTAAACTAGGACCGTGATAACCTTATCTGCAAGTTTGAATTATTGGGAGTTGCGATTTGCGATTTTGTTGCGAATGTAATTTTGTGGTCCATTGAAGCATTTTATAGTAAACTACGATTGAATTTTTTATCTGATCTTATTTATTTATAGAAAAGGTATTATTTTCTAGGCCCAAGATCAATAATATACCGGGTGTTTCTTAAGAGTGGTTCGCCCCTATAACTTTTTAATCTTTTTCTTATAAAAAAATGAGATTTGGTATTTTAGTATATGACATAAAATAGGATTGATTGACGTATTCAATTCGTTTCGATCACTTCCTGTTTCACCGGAAATTACTACAACTTTTGATTTTTAAATGGATGCCATTCGCTACTTTTTTGCTTTAAAATGACACTGAGTAGAATGGCATATCGTATGCCAACTTTTGACATTTACGCTTAAAAAAATCGGACTGTGTAATTAGTAATTAAGACTTTACAATTTTTTTACTTGCCATATTTCTTGTCTTTCACGTTGTGACAAGTTAACTCTTCGTTGTGTCACACACAATCTGAATTTCGGATATGATGCAGAACTGATAAATTAGACTAAATATACAGGGTGGTCCGAATTGTATTCCGGAAACTTCGGCAGCATATTCTACAGATAAAAATAAGTAAAAAAGTTCGTATAAATGTATGACCTAAAATGCTTAGTTTCGGAGATACAGGGTGTAGAAGTTTCATTTTTATTTCAATTTGTTCTAAATAATTTCTGAAGTAACGTCCATATTTGGATGAAAATTGGTGTCTGGGAGTTTTTTGACATGAGAAATTTGATTTGATGTCAATATGACTCCTACTTGTAGCCGGCACCACCTACATGTGTTTTAACTGTTTTGAAGTGTAATAGCTTTTCGTCCGTACCTGTATGAAACAACTGAGTGAAAAAATATACATTTTCGTGATTTTCTACGTTAAAAATGTCTCTTGGTAAAACTCGCTACGAGCAACCGTTCTCAAGATATTTAGAATGGAAATAGTCAATAGATATATCATTATTGACAAAAAATAAACACGTTGAGTAGATAGTTATTTGACTGAAACAATAAATTTGTGAAATTTTTATTTTTTTAAATTAATCATAAATTTTTCTGCAAAAAAATGATATAAAACAGTTTTTGTTGAACTTTTGGCACAAAAACATTTCAAATTTATAATTTCAGTCTGATAACTATTTAGTCAACATGTTTAATTTATGTCAATGACAGGTATTGATAATTACGACTCCAAATATCTCGAGAACCATTACTCGTAGCAATTTTTACCAAGAGACCTTTTTTACGTAAAAAAAGTCGTAAATGTAAATTTTTTTACTCAGTAGTTTTAAACAGGTACGAACGAAAAGTTCTTTTCAAAACAGTTAAAATACATGTAGGTGGCGCCCCCTACAAATAGCAGTTATGCTGACATGAAAATCAAATTCCTCATGTCAAAAAACTCCTATGCACCAATATCGAAATATGGACGTTACTTCATAAATTATTTGGAAAAAATCGAAATAAAAATGAAACTTCTACACCCTGTATCTCTGAAACTAATCATTTTAGGACATACATTTATACGAATTTTTTTACTTATTTTTATCTGCAGAATATATTGCCGAAGTTTCCCGAATACAGTTCGGACCACCCTGTATATTAATTGCAAGGTATACCATGCAAATACTTAAGGCATGCAATAATTTTAAAAAAATTTGACGTGAGATTACTTCATAGTTCTTGGAGGTCTGGATGATAAAGATTTGAATTATTATGGGTCTCTTTTGTTTAAGAAGCTGCAGTTTTTCCAGTTAACCGTATGCGAAAATGTCAAAAGTTGATATATTATATGTCATTTTATTCAGTGGGTCATTTTCTATCGAATAAAGTAATAAAAATACCGAGGGTGTCATTATTAAAAAATGAAAAGTTGTAGTTAATTACGGTGAAAAAGGAATGAATAGAAATCAATTGAATACCGTCTATCAATCCTGATTTATGTCATATCCTAACATACCAAATCTTGTACCAAATTGTATCTTTAATTTTCTTCCAAAGTGCTTTTAGCAATTCAGATGAAATTTTGAAGGTAAAAGTTGCTATTAGTGCGACATATTTTAATACTAAAAAAGGGTCGACATATTTACCATGGACGTGCATATGCGGGTTGTCATTGGAATATTTTACTAAAAAAATATGTGCGCTACTGACTTTTTTTCTCTTGTTAGTAAAATTGAGTAGACCGTTAAATATTAAATGTTGATTCAAAGTTGTCTCTTGATATTTTGTCGATTTCGGTCTCCTTGATATACAGTATGTCCCCGGATTGTCTTTACAGACGGAAAATTTTTTTTATTATTGACATTTTCAGAAAAAGGCATTCTTCGTAAAAAAAATTTCTTGTTTTTAAATGGTTAATCCCGTTCTATAATTTTCTAAATTTCCATACCGTTTTAGAGAAAATTAAGAAAAACATAAAAATCTGGTTGAATTCTTTCCAAAGTCCTACAAAATCTTGGAATTTTAATTAACGTAATAATTTTTGTAAGTTTAAAACGTTAAAGAAACATAAAATTTATTTAGTTTAATGCTACGCAAAGGGTGATGATATAGTTATCGGAAAATATGATACTTTAAGAACAGCATAGGATATGACGTTAATTAAAGTTAATAATAGCCATCTATCAAAGAATGAAATCAAATTGATATTACCATAGAACTGCCTTTTGATTTTTAGGTTTTAGAAAAAATTCAGCCATATTTTCATGTTCTTAATTTTCTCTAAAACGGTATGGAAATTTGAAAAAATATAAAAAGGATTCACCATTTTAGAACAAGCAAATTTTTTTATAAAGAATGCATTTTTCTCAAAATGTCAATATTAAAAAAAGTGTTTCGTCTTGTAAAGACAATCCGGGGATATACTGTACAAACGCAATTTAATTAATTTTTTTTTTTTGAAAAAATAAAAAATATTTTTTTTTTTTGAAATCTTTATCTGAAAAATTTTTTATCTGAAAAAATAAAAAAATTATAGGGGGTGAGCCACCTTAGAAGATAATTCCTTAAAATAAGATCTTTTAAGAATTATATAAAAAATTAGATAACTGATATAAATAGATGATAACCGTAGAAAGAGTAGGTATGTGTAGTTGCAGCAAAGAATATCTTATTACAATAAAATTATAATATTCTTTGGTTGCAGCAGTTGCAGCATATTATAAAGTTTTAATACCTATACTATGTGTCGCAGATGTTAAAAAAAACTTAAAACTAAACAACTGATTTTTATTAACTTTTTTTGAACTGTTAAGCTATACCGGGTGCGTCTCAAAAGTGGCTCACCCGCTCACCCCTATAACTTTTTTATTTTTCCAAATAAAAAAAACAGATTTTGTATCTTAGTATATGACATAAATTAGGATAGATTGACGTATTCAATTGTTTTCGGTCACTTCCTGTTTCACTGGAAATGACTACAACTTTTGATTTTTAAATGGCACCCTCGGTATTTTTATATTTTATTCGATAGAAAATGACACTCTGAATCGAACGACATATCATATGTCAACTTTTGATATATTCGCTCAAAAACAAATTGTATTTTAAATATCAATCTAGAGTGCCATGGCTGTGTTAAAAACACTTATTTTTAATCAAGGAGCCTTGGCAAAATATATTTGATCGTCTAATGTTTTTAGTGTCTTGTCCTGGCCGTTTAAAAGATGCCCAAATCGTAATTTTAATCCCCCCCATATCTCAATTTAATTAATCATTCTCAACATTAGCTTATTTAGAAAAAGCATTTTTTTACGAATAATTTGATACCACACACTTGGTATCTCGAGTCAAACTGTCGTTATGTACCATGTATCATCTGCTGATGATGCTAACATGGTTAGCGAAACGCGCGTCCAGTGTAAAAGTAAAAGTGTTTTGGTGTATTGTGGTGATTTAGTGTAATTTTATTTTGTTATGTATCACATGTATATACATGTGGTACATAACGTAATACATAACATGTAATACATACAATTTCAAATAAACGAAAAAAAATATGCGAAAATGTCAAAAGTTGACATATAATATGTCATTCTATTCAGAGTGTCATTTTCTATCGAGTAAACTAAAAAAAATACCGAGGGTGTCATTTAAAAATCAAAAGTTATAATCATTTCCGGTGAAACCGGAAGTGATCGAAAACAATTGAATATGTCAATCACTCCTAATTTATGTCATATACTAACATACGAAATCTCGTTTTTTTTTATCTGAAAAAGTAAAAAAGTTATAGGGGTGAGCCACTTTTGAGACGGACCCGGTAGAATCATACACACACAATTATATACCTAGTACAATAATTAAACAATTTTAAAATCGCAATCGCAGGTTACCGTCGTAGCGATTTAAAAATCGCATTTGCAGTTTCAATTGCTCATCTCTCCTATGACTATTGAAAGAGTCCATATTTTTAAAGTATTATATATATTTTTCTTTAATTTAGGATTTAGAAAAAGACTACTTACCCATTATCTTGTCTTTTATATTGACAACCATGTTTTAATCCTGCCTGGTCGGTCATACCAAAACAACATCTTAATTAACAAATTAAAATTCGCATAAATATATCACCAAATACCTGCAATTAGAGGTTAGTTATCGATTTCTTCTTCTTTTCACAGCAAAATAAACTGGAAGAAATAGAGGAAGAAGAAAAGGATGAACCGGAACAACCAGACAGACTGACTGAATTGCTGCCTCAGTCCAAGTTCCAGTGTAGTAATAAGAAAACCGGATACTATGCTGACGAGGAACTAGGTTGTGAGGTATTCCATTACTGTCACGAGAATGCCAAGCATTCCTGGATTTGTCCTGAAGGATTTACATTTCATCAGGTAATCAATTATATATCTTCTATATAATAATTTTACCAAGTCGTTGGGACTACAATGGTTGTCTGAAAATATTATTTAGAATAAAACTAGTTTCTTAAGAAGGTAGGTATGTCGGGTTTATAAAAATGTAGATATATTTGAAATTTACACAGTGTATTTTCTAGTGCCGATATTACCGATATTTTCTATGTCGATCTTTTTCGATAATTTTTTTTTGAATCTAGATCTTGAGATATTGCTGCTCAAAGTCGTACATTAATTTAACATTAGTGTGGGCTCCCAATGCTTATATGCATCCGCCATGCGTCGTTCTTCGTTGATTTTATGCAATTTTATTGGTTTATTTAAAAAATTACAGCTCATACTTAAATATATGGTTGGAGTGACGCAAGAACAGTTAACCTAATAGGACTGCTCATTCAAACCAAAAGTGTCTACTAAACTACAGGATACATTAAAATACGCAACCAACCGTCCAATCAGATGAAAGAGGTACGTACCCTATCGTTGGGTATTGTGCAATCACGTGATGCTCATGTCGTATGACGGTTAAATCTTTGGTTAGAATTTTTGTTGTTGTTTTTACCTGTTTTTACAGTTTTTACTTTATTTTTCTATTTACATCAGATTTATATTTTGTAATTGCCTATCAGACAATACGTATTTAGAAAAATAATAAGAATTAGGATCGTGTTTTTTTTAAATCCTGGATATTAATTGGAACCCTTGATAACATTCTGCTTTTGATATAAAAAGTGCATTTTTGATTATTTACTTGGGCTAGGATATTAAAATATCGGTTGGATTGTACGACATAAATAGATGTAGGTATGATTATTTATATATATGTATGTATTTATAAAGCTTACTATCTGTTTTGCATTTTCAGTTTTTGATCAGACATTTCATTTTATTTGTGAAATGCCCACAAAAAAGCTTCCCATGATTCAACATCAGTGTGTTTGCTGCATAATGGATCATTCCTGCTGAATTTTTAGATCATTTGAAGACTACATGGAAAAAACCAGATAATATGTTACATTTTCATAGAAATTGTGGTCTTCATTTGAAATAACGTAAATAAATGTTTATACATATGTATGTGATGATTAAATTGGTGTTAAGGAAATAAAAATGTTTTTCGATATTAATATATACCTATATATGTATATTTATTTTGAAATAAATTACACTTTTAACAGTTTAATGGAGTTTTTAAAGCCAGTTATAATATTTATATTTTAAAAACTTGAAATCATGTGGATGTAATCACGCATTAAACCACAGACTAACTTATATAAGTCAAAAAGTAGATTTTAGTGTTAACTTTATATAACTTGTAAGTAAAATAATAAATAAAACAAATATGAAAAAACCAACAATTCTAATGTATATATTAAAATACAGTACAATAATAGGTATCTGATACCCTCACTTAACGTAGAATAATATTCTACCCAACTCAATACTATGTCCAACATGAGTTTCAAATATATCGGGCCCTAATCGTTCCTGAAAATAATATTTTTTTACATTGTTATACCATATTCTAAACTATTTAATATTTCAGTCACTTAAAAAGTTAATTTGTATTGAATAATTGTCTACCATTAAAGCAAATTTGGACTAGTATTTTTAATGGGCATATTCTGTGTATGGATATAGGTACTTCCTCCAGATTTTGGGTTCAACCAATTTATTCTTAAAACCTGAAACATCTACGTATAAAAAATAGACAGGTTACTAATTATAATAAAATTTACCCTTAGAATTATACTTCTTTAACAAATAATTTCCATTGGTATACTTTTCCATGACAAGTAATCAACTTCCTAACATTTTTTAATTGATGTAATACTTCCTCATGATGCGAAAAGAAAATCTTTTCTTTAGCACACAAAGGACAAACGATATGTTGGCTTACTTTCAGATTAGTTACTTTTCCATAGATATCCTCATGTCAATTCAAAGACGATGAACATGAAAATGATCATCACATGAAACATCACAAACTAAAACCTAATAAACAAGTTTATATCGAATATAGAAATAAATTTAGTGTTCTTACCTATTGTCGTCCAAATCCACGTTAATAGATAATTAATTTTTGGATTTTTATCTTTTATTTTTAAATATATCTTTCGAACTACTGGTTTAGTAATTATTAAATTAAACGAACTAAAAAGTCAAAAATAATAAACAATTCTCTTGTCAATTGTCAATTTTCTCCAGGCACCGAACATTATCGATAACGCACGATCTACGACGATTACTCCTTTGATCTGATTGGACGGTTCAATGACGGTTGGTTGCGTATTTTAATGTATCCTCTAAACTACTCGCTTTGTGACGTCATTGTAGCCCTTGTCATGGTTATTAGTCCTTATCCGGCAACCAATAATACACACACGTGCATTATTGGTTACCGAATGCAAAACGTTCATTATTTAGTTTATTTATTGCAAAACGTTCATTATTTAGTTACCTTATATGTATGCAGTATAGAAAATTAACTGTATAAATCGTATTAAATACTCGGATAATGCATTTTTAAGAACAGCAGTTCTCAGCATCACTTTTTGCAAGCATTCTTTTTAGAGTACTTCCATATTTTGCTTTAAAATAATTAATAAGCAAAATCGTGGGCACTTAGTATGCACTTTGTCACAATCCACAACACAAAATGAACGTATTTATACACTCTATAGCTCTAAAAACTTTAAAGACACCTTTTTCACATTTAAAATTGACAAAATAATTAACTCAAAATTTCTCAGCTGTTATTTTTATAAGATTACCATAGGCAACTAATAATACACACTATCATGACAAGGTCACGAAGGCTTTGACAAGGGCTACAATGACGTCACAACTGTCAGCTGAAGCGCGGGAAGAGGCGAACATACGTCTTATGAGGATGAGCAATCCTATTGGAGTGACGGACTACGCATGACGGGTGCATATAATAAACACAACTTTATATCTTGATTTTATATGGCAAAAATGGACAAATGACAGATAAGGCTCTTTTTCACACAACTATGGAAGGTAGAGATCTCTTCCATGTAAATTACGTCTACTGGATCTGTGTCTATGAAAGGAATGCGGATAAAAAACATTTAAATAAACAGCAATATATTTTATACATCCCTACCTAAATAGAAGAGACAGAAAAAACTCCGCTCACTCATTTCATTGGCTACTTGTAAATTTGTCGAATTTTTATTGATGGGACGCGTCGTCTAATTTTTTACGAGAAACATCGAGAGAATATCGTTTCCCCTCTTACGGATGCCTCGTAGCTACAGAACGTATAGACGTACTGTACCTACATAACTCAACAATGAATGTATAAATTGAAAAAAAGGTCTATAATTCATATTAAATAAACTTTTAGTCGCGTGATTAAGCCGGAGTCTCATGCATCCGATATCCGATGGTACGACATCCGAAATTTGAAGTTATCCTGTGAAATAAAAAAAGCCTGTCACATACATCCGAAAGTTCGTTCCGAAATTTGACAGTTTTGACATTTAGACCTGTCATTCCTATCAACAGTATCAACGTTAATTACATGTATTATTGGAGAAACACTTCTAAAAATAACTTCCTCGCCAAATATCCCGAAATTGCCCACTTTCCACTAAACTTGTTTTTAAAAACCAATGTTTTCAAAAAAGTGAGGTTAAAAAACACACGATATCGTACAAAAGTTAAACAAAATTTAACTTTATATGACGTCGGACGATTAGTTAAAAATATCGGATAAAAGTTGGTGTCAAAATATTTCAACCAATAGGAGCACCGTCGGATCGTAGTGTCATCGGATTTCGGATGGATGAGACTCAGGCTTTAAGCTTGACCAGCACAGCGTTGCCCACTTTTACATATTTTCTTTTAATCAAAATATTTTAGCAAAAATAAATTAATTATAAATATACCGAGTGCGTCTTAAAAGTGGCTCACCCCTATAACTTCTTTATTTTTTCAGATAAAAAAACGAGATTTGGTATGCTAGTATATGACATAAATTAGGATTGATTGACGTATTCAATTGGTCACTTCCTGTTTCACCGGAAATGACTACAACTTTTAATTTTTAAATGGCACCCTCGATATTTTTTACTTTATTCGATAGAAAATGTCATTCTGAATAGAATGACGTAATATGTCAACTTTTGACATTCTCGCTTAATAAAAAATCGTATTTTAAAATTCAATCTAGAGTGCCATGGCTATGTTAAAAACACTAATTCTTAATCAAGGAGCCTTGGAAAAATAGATTTGATCGTCTAATGTTTTTAGTAACTTATCATGGCCAGTTAGAAATTGCTCAAATCGTATTTTTAATCATATCTCAATTTTTTCAAATGGAACGAGGGTGGCTCATTAGCATATTTGGAAAAAGCATTTTTTTACGAATAATTTGATACCACACACTTGGTATTTCGAGTCAAATTTTCGTTACGAACCGTAAGTTATAATTTCAAATAAACCATATGCGAAAATGTCAAAAGTTGACATTTGATACGTCATTCTATTCAGAGTGATATTTTTTTTCGAATAAAGTAAAAAAATACCGAGGGTGCCATTTAAAAATCAGAAGTTGTAGTCAGTTCCAACAACAATTGATTACGTCAATCAATCCTAATTTATGTCATATACTAACATACCAAATCTCGTTTGTATAACTGAAAAAATAAAAAAGTTATAGGGGTGAGCCACTTTTGAGACGCACCCGGTATAAACAGTTATTATTTACATAAACAAAACTCACTCAATTGCGATGAGTTTTTACGGTTATTAAGCTATCTTGTAACTTCACACTAAAAGAGTTTATACCATTTATACCAAAAACTGGTAATACAAAACTAAAGTGTCAAACGAATGACAATTTTAGAAAATAAATAAGTAAATGTGTCAACAGAGCTATAATACCATCTGAATCCCCAGCGGGAAATTTAAATTCCAGTTAGTCAGCGCGGCGCCCAATATGTCCATTGTTGGCAACAATGAATTTAAAATTGCGCCCTCGATTACGTAACTAAAAGTTTAATTGGTATCGAATATACATAGGTGGTTTACAGTACTATCTATCTTTTTATGTCAAATTAATGTAATTTTTGAACATATAGTAGGTATAGATGTATTAATTAAAATAAGACAGGAAAAATTATAAGTACCTATTTAATTTATTTTAACTTTTTTTATAGATTCAGCTCATTTGCATGCCTCCTGGCGGTGATAACATATGCGAAAAATCTTCGGACTACCATTTTGTCAACGATTATCTCTACAAGCCTGTGAATCTGCAGGAATACCAGCAGAAGCCCAACGTCAGCTTAAGGTACTCTGATAGGTACTTCCCAGATGCTTACAGGCCCAGATATGATGACGAAGATGACGCACCAGTCCACCATCAGCATTCTGTAAGTATGGGATGGTTTCTAAGTTAAAATTTTTAAGTAATTAACTTTGGTTAAATCATACAGACACACAAATAAAGAAAGGTGATTTATTAATAGTTTATTAGTATCATCTCTAGTTCTCTAGATCATAATATACAGGGTGTCCCAATATTCCGTGGACATAGAACTACTATGTAGTTTTTGAATCAAAATAAGTTCATTAAACACAATTTACTTATATACAAAAGTGCTTCGTTTGTCCGTTAGAGGGCCATCAAATGGTTTTAATATATTTTAAGAACTGTTATATCGATTTAATTAATTGGGTGCCTGTGTTTTGCCAATCGCTTTAACATTTGACTGGAAGGGTGAAAACTACCCCATCCCTACATAAAATTTAGTAGAGATATTTTCTAACTCCATCAACTACTCATTTTTTTCGTAAAATGGTCCTTCTGGTATTTACTACAATTTTTGTCTCTTGTAAAAAGCGCCAACGCGCATATTTTTAAGAAAAAAAAGTGTTTTTCCGATGCCAACTTACAAAATATATTTCTTGTCATTTCAAGCTATGTAGGTGTATAAAATCTAGTTGGCGAAAATATGTAATGTTATGTTATTACATACCACAAATGATCTTTGACAATAAGCTTCATAAATTTTAAATTAATTAACGTTTGGATTTATTTTTATTGATGTCTTCTACAGGGGATACAGGAATTTATTTTAGGGGGGGCCCGGGATATATTTTAGGGTATAAATAAAAAGTAATGTAGAATATGCTTATTAGAGCGCCATTTTTAACCCAAAAGCCTAATAATTAACCCAATTTATAGATTTTAGGGAAAAATCAAAGATTTTCCTTGATTTAAGTACAAACTTGGGATTTTCAGGGGATTTCTAATAGGACAATGTCTCCTCAACGAACACCTCAGTAGGTTGAAGCTGAGAAACAACGGCGAATGCAGATTCTGTGGGGAAAATGGGGAATTGTTGCCATATTATCAACAAATTATGTTTTTTAACTAAAAAGATCTCAATTTTTTTTTAAAATTTGAATTTTTTTAAAACAAAATTGAGATATATTTTTAGTTAATAAACACAATTTGTTGATAATATGGACATACAACAGAGATTGTAGATTAAAATTACAAGAACGAAAATCCAGAAAAGATTCAAGAGTTCTCAAAATTTTAGAAAAAAATCATTTTTTTGTGAAATTTTTAAAGTAAAATAACTCGGTTATTTGGATTTGAAAAACGGCAAAGAAAAAATAGGTTTCTTTTATCGAGACCTAACAGCCCTATATTTGCACATTTAAGACTCGCCCTGTATAATTATGTCATGTTACCGGAGGAATGAGTTATCAAAAGCCCCAAAAGCCAAACATAAAAATTTGTCTCTTATGGCGTCATCTATCAGCAATATATTGAACAAACAGAAGCTACTCTTTAACAGAAGACTGTAGAAGAGCCTCCCTAATTTTTATTTAATACCTTCACCGTTTTGTCAAAACGAAATTATAGCACATATCTAAAATATATAAATTAGTTTCTACTGTTTGTAGCAATAACATATATTTTATTTTATTTTCCTTTTTATTCACAGGTAAGAGTAACAAACGTCCCACGTTATCAACCAGTCCAATCGACAACCTTTAGACCACAATCAACTTTATCACAAGTATTCAGATCGCCAGAAGAGATCAACATTTCTCTTCAACAAAGAAGGCCTCAATATTCCATTCCAAAATATGAAACCTATTCAAAATAATTTTTTTCTTTTGTATGCTTGCTTTCTTTCTTGACTTTTTTCGTTGATTTTTTTGAAAGTAAATCTTTGAATAAGTTACAACAGTAAAATAAAAGTTTAAAAAGGCTAGGTGAGAAAAGAAGTATTTTTAGAACTGTTTTTCAATGATTTATTTTCGAAATTCTTATTTTCACGATTACTGATGATGGATGAATATTTTGTGTGAATATAAATTAAATGTTCTTAAATTATGTTTTAGGTTTAATTTTATTTACTTAAGAAGTTGATTATTGTTTTAATTTTTGTGTTATTATACATGTAATTTTTTTAAAATAAATAAATTTTAATCTATGGATTTTATAGAGTGGTTAATTTAAAAGAAATATATTTAAACACAAAAAAATTGACAGTATTGTATACAGGGTTATTCGCGCTATTCGACGCGGAGTATTGTAGCTAAGTGATCACATTTTTAGAAATTATAAATATTAAAGTCATTAAAGTACTATTAGATACTACATTATTTTAAAGTTACAAATTGTCCCAAATAAATAAAAAAAATATTAAAGTTGTTTTTTACATGTAACATTCTGCATATTATTTATTACATTTTGAGATTATATGATTAAAATTAATGTAAATATGATTATGGTTTATGAATTATTACTATTTAGATATTATTGTTTAATAGTTACTCTTTTTGAAATAGTTACGATATGTTTATTGCGTCGCGTTTCTCTAGGCGTATTTCAGTTTTTAAACCCAAATAATGCTTTACAGTTTTTTTTATTTACTAAATATTGTGCTTCAACAATAAAACTAATACTGCCTATACAGGGTGTCCAAAATTTATTCCAAAGAATTACTAGATTACTAATTAAAGCGCAATAGAATGTAGAATGTTTAGGAGGGGGGTTACTCACTGCGATATTACAGATCTACTGTGTGTATGTATGTTACCCTTTCTTGAGTTATAGCGGGTTATAACTCATCATGCAGTCTCAATGCTTTGCCAAAAGCCAGTATCTGAGACGGCTCCACAAAGGACAGTTCTCCATCCTCGACATACCAACGTTTATGGCACGAAGGGTTGTCGTCTCGGCGCACTCAGTGATAAGGTGTTCTCGTGTTTCCCCATTTTCCCCACAGAATGCATTCGCCATTGGTTCTCAGCTTCAATCTACTGAGGTGTTCGTTGAGGAGACAGTGTCCTGTTAGAAACCTCGTGACAATTCGATGATTGTTTTTGGTTAAATCAATCTTTGATTTTTCTCGGTGTAAATTCTGAGGAACTTTTGTGAGTCTTAGATCGTTGGAGGATTCCCATTCCGCTTGGAGGATTCGGTTTCCGCTTGGAAAGCAGAACAATTCTGGTTAGTAGAGTATTCGCTTCTTTTCTATCTAGATCGTTTGCTTGTTCATTTCCTTTTCTATCATTTGTTTTCTATGACTTCGAATTGATGGTCACGGAGTTGATCGCTTTAGATCGCTAGTGCTGCTTGACTATGGGATAAGATGGCTATTTTCTGTTTTCGATAGTTCCTTTTTTTATAGATGGGAAACACCTTTAGGGTCAGAGTGTGTGGATCTCCCTCATGCGAGAGGGCCTACCTCCCTCATGCGAGAGGGCCTACCCACTAAAAACCCATCTGTGCTCTAAGCTCGCCAATCTCGGTACCGCCGAAAGCATTTCATCGAGATTAGAGACTTATCATTCTTCTATGTTGGTCTTGTCTGTACCCAAATCTTGTCTCTTTCGTCCTTCGCCTTTAGAATGTTCCTTAACATGCCGCAAATCGCTTCGAAATTTTCGTTCGATGATGTTAGAAGGTTTCCGACGTTTACTCTAGTAATCTTCGTACCACGTGACACTCAAATAGTGTATGGTTAGCCGAGTCTGACACCTCGCGATACCAGCATGTAGGAGAGTCAGCCTTGCAGATCCTGTGCCACGGAAAAAAAAGCCTTGCGGAACTTGCCAAATACTCCATGGCCAGTCATGGCTTGCGTGGTGTAGTATAGTCCGTGTTTACCTGGTCGCATTTTATCCAATCTTTGATATGATATATACAACCTAATATCAATGATTTTCATACCTATGAAAGCCTTTGTTCGCCTGCTATATGCTTCGTGTCTGCCCTTGCTCTAGTATAATGTTTCTGGCCTTTTTCCGGAAGGAAGTTCCATTTTTATATATTTGGTTTCTTTCCAGGATCAGTAGACTGATCGGAGGTATGATCGGAGCCAATGCAACCCTGAGTGCTAACTTCCTATTTATCCTTTCTAGCATGTTTTCGTAATGCTATATGGAATTCAATAGTTTCTATCTAAGATAATTTGTACGCATTCTTCGATAGCGTAGATTCCCGCCTGAAAGATGCTGGAGTAGGTGTTCATTGGTTTGGAGTATTTAGTTTTCGGCCCAAATACTCATCCCTGTCCCTATCAGTGTTCCATTAAAGAAATCATCCGAATCCATTCACCCTTTTTTAGCCACCCAGTGGATGTTAAAATATTTTCCTGAAATACATGTTAACACATACTTTAGGTTGGCACTTATACAAAATTGCTTTTTTATTATAGGAACTACAAATGCCTGACGTACTGTTGCCGAGACCGTATAAAGTATTAGGAACTTTTTTGAGAACACTCTTTGAACCGTGTGGCAACCCCTATTTGCGGCAACTTTTTGATAGGCACCCATATAACATCATGCCAAAAATAAAAAAAATCTTTAATTTGACATATAAATGATCAAAAAATTTTATGAACGTAATGTCGTCTCCAAAATCAGTTATTATTATTAATTAAACATAGTTGCGGCACCTTCTTGACTAACTATTCATAAATATATGTAAAAATTAGGTTTTGATTAAAAATATGATGAGCGTAATAATCCTGCAAGCTAATCTTAGACTATAAATGTTTCAAAATCGGTAAGAATAAAGTGAAGTAAATCTTAATAAAATTTGCCCAGGGTATCAGGGTATATTGTGTTTATGTTTTTAGGACACTCTGTACCTTATGAAAATAATTTCGTGAATAACCCTGTATATCAGAAACAAAATCTAACTAAATATAGATATCTACATATTTTTTCTTTGTTTACTATACAAAACATCCAAAAACCAGAAAAATACGAACCACAAAAATAGGAAAAAAAAACTGATGACAGGTCTTTTAAAATTCAAGAAATTAAAAACTTAAAATTTAAATGTTTTGTTTCTAAATATAACCAAATTTGTTTAATCTTGTCTTTATAGCAATTGTCTCTGCATACTAATTGTTAATAATGCCAATTAATAATCAAATTTTTTGTGTAAAATTTGTGCTGAATGATCGTAAATTTGATTTTAACGTTTTTATATTATAAAGCTTGGTTTTTATAGGTCTGGATAACTTGGGCTTAACAGAGAGTTAATATTAGTGAATATTAAGGTTACTCTTGCTACTTTTAGTGAATGATTGCAGTTTTAAAAAACAATCAAAGTGTTTTGGCGTAAAAAAAATCTATCTCTGTATTTAGTCAAATTTCAAATTACAGGAGTCGTTACATTGTTTTACACGGTACATATTTAAACGTGGTGTTGCTTATAGGCTTGGTGCATTCTCCGTCTGTGCTTCCATCATCGGAGAATATCGTAAACAACTGGTATATACAAGTACACGTGTTTAAATAACGAGTAGAGATGAGTAAAAAATTGCCAATTGTGATTCAATCGCAGCGATTGTAAAATCGCAATAGATATTTAGGAAACTGCGACCAATATTACTATAGCTGCGATTTGCGATTTCACTGCGATTTGCGATTTCTTCTATTTGCGAGTTTCAATTTAGGCAACCAGTATTACTATAGTTGCAATTTGAGATTTTGCTGCGATTCTGATTTTGTAAACTAGGACCGTGAGGTGATAACCTTCTATCTGCGAGTTTTAATATTTAGGATTAGCGATTTGCGATTTTGTTTCGAATGTAATTTTGTGGTCAATTAAAGCATTTTACACACAAACCTCGTACCTGAGTGTTTTATAGTTTCAATAGCTGCACTATTAAAAACTAAACTACTTAAATTAATTTAGAGTAAAATATGTTTCGAGAGGAAAATATGTCGAAGTCTGACAATTTTTCTACTACTTTTATTTTTACGACTTCTGAGATAATCTTTCTACTTGAATCACATATTGTTGGATTCACTGAAATGTGAACTCAACGAATTGGAGCTTAAGAACGAAACTGAAGAAGGAAAATGAAGATGCAGTTCGGGCACTACAATAGTGACACTGAAAACTCTGCATACTTAAATATACTTACCATAGTACGTGATCTTTGAAAATTGAAGAAAGAAGTTTGAGAATTAACCAATTGGCCTTTGTGGCATTGATATGATATATTTGTTTATGCGATTACATTTATTTATCGTCACACGTATATAATGTACTGTAAATGTACTTACTGTATATAATGTTCACATACATACATATGTTCAATAACAATTAAACTTTTAGTTATGTAATCGAGGGCGCGATTTTTAAGTTCATTTTTGCCAACCATGTACAGGGTGGTCGAAATTGGTCTGTTTTAACAGAGAAAACCTATTTCCTGACTAGATAGAGCAAAACCGACAGAGATGTCATAGGATCGATTTTTGAGACACGTTTAATGGCGTAAATCGCCTATTGATATTTTCACTGCCAACTGAGATACGGGGTCTTTTTGATTTTTTTACTATTTTGAAAATTGCCCATAACTTTTTTATTTCGCGGAATAATTAAATTCTGTAAAAACGTTCAAGGCACTTTTTTAAGCACAATCCAATGGCGTAGTCAGTTTGCTCTTTTTGTCTGAAATGATAAAAAATATAATTTTTAAATCGAAATCATACTTCGCTATGAACTTAAAAAAAGGATGGCGTTTAACCCTTTCCAACGATATAAAGTTATGTGTATTTGTTTCTAAGAATGTGACAAATATTAGGTTTTTTATCTTTGTATCGAAGCGGGTCTTGATTTTGTGTTGACATAGTTGCCTAATTATTTTTTATCACAATTTAATATTTTATATTATTATTTATCTGCATAATTAAAGACTTTTGAAAAGGTAAATCAACATTCTATATTAGTATTACCAATTATAATTAAAACGCCAGTGTTACAAGTGAACTATTAAATGGAGAATTTAAAGAGAATTAGATTGGAACAAGGGACCCTATATCTTAGCCTGCTAGGTCCTGTGATTTAACTCCTTTCGACTTTTTTTATGGGAGAAATTAAAAGACCTTATATATGTAGAAGGGAAGAACCATTGGGACGAGAGAAGAATTGCAGAAGGCTACTAGGCAAGCTTTTGGACATATTACATGT